CAGGTGATAGACAAGGAAGTGCCTTGTGATGGCATAAGCTTTTCACCGTCTGAGGTTTCCAGCCCAGAGGTGAGAGAATTCTAAAAGCTAAAACCTGATCAAGCTGGCTGCTTGTAGCTGTGTCCACATGGAACATTGCCATCCTGTTAAGGTAAATAATAAGAATGAAACATCCATTTTCAGAATGTGTAGGAAAGTCCGATTTCAGGACTGACCACTTGGTATTGGATAATAAATTAGGAGCTCATCCCTGAGAAATACTAATATTCTCCTTCTCTCTCTCTCTCTCTCTCTCTCTCTCTCTCTCTCCCTTCTCTCTCCCTCTCTCAGTTTTTGAGACAGGGTTTCTCTGTGTAACCCTAGCTGTCCTAGAACTCACTTTGTAGACCAAGCTGACCTCGAACTCACAAGTGCTGGATTAAAGGCATGCGTCACCATGCCCAGATAATGTTTCCACTCTCGGCAGTTTGTTCACATTATTGGGAAGCTGTTAGTTCATTTCCGGCTGCTCAACCCCAAAATAATCACACAGAAACTATACTATTTGCAATACCGTTTTGCCAATAACTTAAGCAAATTTCTAGCTTACTCTTATATCTTAAATTAACCCATTTCTATTAATCTGTGTATTGCCACGTGGTTGTGGCTTACCGACAACGTTCCGGCACATCTGTTCTCGGTGGCAGCTACATGGCTTCTCTCTGACTCTGCCTTCTTTCTCCTAGAATTCAGTTTAGTTTTCCCACCTAGCTCTATGATGCTAAGTCACTGGCTGAATCAGATTTACTCATTAACCAATAAAAGCAACACATAGACAGAAGGACCTCCCACATCTCGTTCAGGTCTGGTTTAAGCAACCATATTATTGCATTATCATGGGCACAGCCTCCCTGTCATTTCTAAGAGATTGTGATCTCACAGCAGATTTCCTGGCCCTCTGGAAAATGTTTTTGTTACCTCTCCTGTAGTGATCCCTGAACTGTAGGTGCAAGAGTTGTGTGGTAGATGGGGCCGGGCACCTCATGACCAGCCATTGCTTTGGGATTTGTTTGTTTGTTTGTTTTCTGTATTTTAACCAGTTGTGGCTTTCTGTGGTGGCCTGTTTCCTGCAGAGAGAGGCTTCTTTGGTGAGAGCTGACAGGTTCACGTATCTGTGTGTAACAAAAAGCATTTTTCTAAGATGTATTTGTTTGTTGGGTGGCAGGGGCGGGCCCCAGCGTGTGTGAGCCTCGGTGCACAGGTGAGGTTAGGGTGCAGCCTTCTTCCTGTCATTAGTGAGCAGAGTCTCTCTTGCCTCTGCTACTGTGCTGCTTAAGTGAGTTGCTGGCCATTCTCGCCTCCACCTCCATCTCCCCATAGAAGTGCTGGGGTTACAGATGGGAGGGAGCCTCTGCGTCCTGCTTCTTACATGGGTTCCAGAAACTGAACTCAGGCTCCCAGGCTTGCACAGCAAGCACTTCACCCTCGGAGCCTTCTCCCTGGCCCTCCAGATGATTGTTAAAGACATTCAGCTTTACTAACAGCAAAAGAAAACACAAATGAAACTGAACTCCATGAAACTGGATAATACCAATGCTACTAGGTAGTTGGGGAAACACGACCTCTTGGACTTCTAGGAAGATTGCAAAAGGGTACATGGACACCCAATTTAGCAATGCTTATTAAAATTTAAAATGCACATTTTCTTCCCCTTCCAAGATAGGGTTTCTCGGTGTGTGTAGCCCTGTTCTAGAACAACAGTGGCACTTCCACAGAAATCCTGACACCTGAACAAACAGATATTTGTACAGGGATGTTCAATATTGAACTGTTTGTTAAGCAGAAAACACCCCCCCCAAAAAAAAACCAAAACTGAAATAGTCCGAAGTCTAATGCAGCACACTCAGTAAATAAGTTATAGCACATTACACCCTGGAACATCTGTAAGTTAGAACAACACAGAATCTTGGGATAAGTATGCCCACGCTGACATTTTAATCTACCTAAGACATACCGGCAAAGAAAACACACAAGTTTCAGAAGAGCATGTGTGTAACTTATTTTTAGCTTTGTTGTTGATTGTTTTGTTTTGTTTTGTTTTGTTTTTGAGATAGAGTTTCTCTGTGTAGCCCTGGCTGTCCTGAAAACTCTTCTGTGGACCAGGCTGGCCTCAAAGTGCTGGGATTAAAGGCCTGAGCGACCATCAACACCCTGGCTTCATTTTAACTTTTTAAAAACAGTAAGATTTTTTTATGTGTATTAGAACAGTGTGTGTTAATTTTTATTTGGTATCACTATAAGAGTCTTGAATTTTATTTTTTCTTTCTCCCTCCCTCCCTTCCTCCCTCCCTCCCTTTTCTCTGTCCCTCCTTCCTTCTTTTCTTGTATTGGGAACCAAACCTAGGGTCTTGTAGTACTGAGCAAGCCTTCTACCACTGAACCACTCCAGCAACATAAATTTTTAAATTATACATTTCTGTACTTAGGAAGGCGCCTGTGTTAATAAAGCACATTTATTACTTTTGTAATTAGAAAAGAGATTTTTACTATCAGTCCACAGGAAGTGCTGATCTCTGCACTCAGCATTTACAGCTACTTTAAGAGGGCTCCAGGCAAATGTCCCAAGTCTTTTTCCAGACAAGGGAACACTCAGTTCTGCACTGATTCTGGCAATCCAGCCTCTGTAGTGTCTGAGGTAGAACAAGATCCACCCTGTAACCATTATGGAGAAGCCGGGGACCAGCATCCAGGGGAAAAAGCTGAGAAAAAAAATTGCCAAAAAGTTCACTCCAAGAAGCTACACAGAGATGCAAAGCCAAGTGGAAGGAACCTGGCACACAGAGCCAGCTAGCACTAAGTGGAAGTGATTCGTGGTTCTCTCAACAGAGAAGGTATCCCCACATCCAAGGAAAAGCCACAAAGAATGCAAGCCAGCAGTGAATGAGCAACCATCACATAGAGAAACACAAAGAACACTGGACTGGGGAGATGACTCATTGGATAAAAAGTCCTTGCTGCTGGAAAGTGAGGATCAGAGTTCGAATCCCCAGCACACACACAGGGCGGCCCACAATCATCTCTTAACTCTAGTTGCAGGGGATCCAGTACCTTCCTCTGGCCTCCATGGGCACTACAAACCTATGGTGCACATACATAGGTAAATTCATTCATACATATGTGCAGGCAAAATACCCATATACATAAAATAAATAAATCTTTTTCTAAGAGAGAAATTGAAGATCCTGTTGAAAAGTATGTAAGTAAATACATAAATTAGGCAAAAGGCTAAGCTTCGGTTTAGTGCTGGCCTCCACACGTGCATGCATATTTGTGTGCACACAGGCACAAGCACACACACCCCACACGCGAATGCCCACATGCATTTGAACGTGGATACACAGATGTGTCTGTACACTCACAAAAACAATGTAGAAGCCAGGTGTGGCGGCCTAAGCCTGCAATCTCACTCCTCAGGAGGCTGAGGAAGGAAAAGTATCAAGAGTTCAAAGCCAGCTTGGGCAAAATAGTGAGTTCTAAGCCAGCCTGGGCTACAGCATAAGACCGCGCCTCTAAGAAACAAATAAACACAAACCAAAACAACTGAAAGAAAGAAGACGAAGAAGCAATAAAGCATGAGGCTTGTTTAAATATCCTATTTTAGATGGGTTCGGATTTTTAAAAAGAAAAAAATTACTTTCCTAAAGTGTAGATTTTTTTTTTTTAGGTGTAACTTCAATTTCTTTCCGGTCATAGAGCTATGAAAACTGTCATACTTCCTCCATGCAAATATCTGCAAAGACTACCTCGTCGGATCCCACCAGTTAGAGGGCCTTTCACAGAATCCAGCTCTTCCTTTGGCATCTGCTTTTGGGAAATGAGCTTCCTGTTGGCCAGTGGCTGCCAGGTGAAACCCTCAGACCTCTGAAGTGTAAAAGCTAATGCCACCATCTCCAGTCCCCGAAAGCTCTATGTCCGGAACCTCTAGGGCAGTCAGCCATTTCCCTCTGCAGCAAGGCTGGGTGAGAACTCCTTTTTAGGCAAAGCATTAAAAGAAGTTGGCTGAGCCTAGTTTAAAAAAAAAAAAAAAAAAAAAGAACCTTGGTCAACAGGGTGGAGCCAACCCCGGGGGCAGAAGTATTACTTCACAGTTGCATTGGCTTCCTGTGGCTGCCAATAGAGACTGAGTCTGGCGGCCAGCCCGCCAAAGGGAAGGGGGAACTCTAAGGAAGAAAATAGCCCTGGGTATGGTGGCTCCCACTTCTAATCCCAGCGCTCAGGAGGCTGAGGCAGGAGGATTGTTGCAAGTTCTACACCAGCAGCTTGGTCTACATAACAAGCTCCAGGGTAGCTGGTTAAACAGGGAATTTCTGTCTCAAAAAGAAAAGAATAAGAGAAGAGGAAAATAACAATGGATCCAACAAGATGGAAACGTAGCCAGCCTGGGACCAGAGCTGTCTGTTTGTCTTGCCATCCTGTGGGACTTGGCACACAGCACCTTTTCTGGCTTTAACTGCTCATCATCCTCCTGGGGAAGCATTTTACATGGCACCTTTTCCATGTTCTTTGATGGTTATGACTTATTTGGTATCGGGAGATTGAGAGCTGAATACGTTGGCCACACGTCGGTGTAGTGCTGACCCTTGGGGCTTTGGGTCAGGAAGATTTTGAGTTCAAGGCTAGCTTGGATTTGAACACAGGAGTAAACTTTAAGTCAGCCTGAGCTACATAGTGGGACTCTCTCTTAACCAAAACCGAATAATCCTAGCACTCAGAAAGTAGAGGCTGGAGGATCTTCAACTCAAGGTCATCCTCAGGTACATACTGGTCTCTAGGGCAGCCTGAGCTACATAAGACCCTAACTACACACACACACACACACACACACACACACACACACACACACACACACACACACGTTATGAGACAGGTATTATTATTACCTCGATTTTTCAGTTGAGAAAATGAAAGCCCAGGAAAGTGACATTGAGGATTCAAAGTGGGAGGAGGCCCCACAACCCTACCTGGTAGTCACTGATTCTCCCAAGTGAAAAGCAAGTAAAGGCTTTGCCAGCCCAACTGCCACTGTGGATTGCAGTGATCTCGTCTCCTCCCTGGTGACAAGTATTTTGGGTTTTCCTTCCTTGCACACAACCAGGCAAATGACAGCAGTTCTAAAGGGAGATAAATATAAAAACAAGAAGTGAAACGCTACAGACACCTGAACCCCAAGCATTGCTGCAAGCAGGGAGCCTGTGGAGCCCCGGCGCAACAGAAATGCTTGTGTCCTGTTTAGATAGGCTTTGTTTTGCTACACGGCTGCGTGTGTGCGGCCAAGTGATAGCAGGTCCTGAGGGTCCAGCACGCCTTTGATGAGTTAAACACACAAAGGCCGGCATTTTGATGTAATCTGATAGCACGCAGTTAAGTCCTAGACAACCGGCAACTGTGAGGAAGAGATAAACACAGCTTCCTGCATCGAGCCGCCTGAGATAACACTTTCCATGGACTGGAAGGGGGAAAAGAGAGAGAGGGAGCAGGGCATGATTGCTACAGAAGTTAAAAGGAACTCTTCTGTCCTTAGCAAATAACTTCTTTTTTAATGCAGTCCCAGCACCATCTACGCAAAACCGAGGACAACCAGATGACCCTGTCGTAATTCCATATTGTGACTTGATCCTGACTTATTTTTAGGCAAAGTCACTTAAGATTTCTCTCTTATTGATATCAAAGCCCTGAGGCTCAGGTAGCTTCTTGGCCCCATAAACTTCAGTGAGATGCGGCAAGAATTCAGATGGCTAAAACCAAGGCCGCAGTCACTGGCAAGGTGGTGTTCTTAATTGAACCACTAAAGAGGCCCATTCAGTCTAAATAAACACACATCGGAATAAATGCCAATTTGCCTAGAGACTGATAGCTGTTTCCACAATGCCAAAATAGGGTCAAAGGGGCAATTTCACTGAGTATTTGTGTAGGTTGTGTCATATATAAACAACCAATGAAAGCCAGGCGTGGTGGCGCACACCTAGAATCCTGGCTCTCTGGAGACTAAATCAAGAGGATCCAAGTTCAAGGCCAGCTTGGGACTGCGTGTCTCAAAAACATCAAAAAAAAATCAGTAAGGGTAGAATATGTTGGGACCTTTCTGCTGACACGCCTGTTTATTCCCTCACTCAGCAAGGTAACGATTTTTTAAATTTATTTTAGTGCTAGTCCTTTTTTCAAGTGTGCAGTATATATGTGCATGTGTGTATCTGTGTTTGTGAGCACGTGTGTATACAGGTACATGTGTACATGTCTGTGCATGAACATGAATGCCAGAGGTCAACCTCAGGTGTCCTTTAAATATCACCCCCCTTGTTTTTTTGAAACAAGGTCTTGCAGTGACCTGGCATTCACCAAGTAGCCAGTGAGTGAGCTGGCCAGTGAGCCCCAGGGATCCTTTAGTCTCTCTCTCTCTTGCTCCCATTGCTGCTGGTATTACAGACAGGCTACCACATCAGGCTCTTTGATTTGGGTGCTAGGGATCAAATTCAGGCTACCTTCCCTCCACCACTACACAGCAAATCTTCACTGAGCCCCTACTATGTGCCAGGAAATAGTAAACACAGAATTAAAAACAAAAAACAACAACAACAAAAAACATGACTTAGAATTTTCCAGCATACCTAGGGAAACAAAGGTGAGGGTAAATTCGCAAATAAATGTACAGTCCAAACGCTGTTCAGTGCCCTGAAGACAGAAGGACAAAACAGTCTACTTCCGATGAGGGAATCAGCAAAGATCTTCCTTACCTCTGCAATGGTGGGGCCTGAATCACCTAGGCAAACTAAGAGAGAAGGAAAGAACTCAGGGCAGTGGGGGGCAGTGATGGGAGAGTGAGGGGGACACTACAACAAACCAACAAACTGTGACATACGGACTCTGAGTTGGGAAAGTGTCTACGTCTTTGAATAAAGACACAGAGGGGTTGTCACCAGGCTGCAAGGTAAAATCCAGATCACACGACTTGTAGACCACATGTGAGAGCTGGGTTTTAACCTTAATACCTGGTGACTATTTCACTAATTCTTTTTTAATGTGGTGTGTGTGTGTGTGTGTGTGTGTGTGTGTGTGTGTGTGTGTGTGTGTTCTGAGTACTTAAACAGATCCGTGCACATGTGTGTAGGCCTCAGAAACTGGCCCAGACGGTCCATCTTGGTCTCTCCATCTTGGTCTCTCTCCACCTTGTATATTGAGGCCTGGTTTTTTACTCGAACCCAGAGTTTGTCAGTTCCGCTCATCTGGCTAGCCAGCTTGCTCTCCTATCTCTGCCGCCTGGGTGCTCGGGTGGCAGGCAGGCCATCACACTGCCAGTGTATGTAGTGTGTGGGGACCTAGACTCCAGTCTTCATATCACGTGGCAAACGCTTTTTCATTGAGCCGCTTTCCCAGACCTGCATCCCACCAATTCTTCCAGCCTCTCTCCCTGTTCTGCTTTCTAGGCTTCCTGGCGTTGAATCTCTAAAACAATGCAACAGTTTTAATATCCTTCAAGAGAACCCGAAATCAAATTCCTACTGGAATTTGGGGCATCAAAGAGTTCTACTAAGTTCAACCTGTTTGGCTAAACCTCTAAGTAGGGGATGGGCATAAAATTAGGGCCATAAAAAAATGAAGCAATTGGATCACATGTCATTTTATTATTTTAATGTGATTCCAGAGTCACAGGGTTCTTGTGTCTAGATAGGACTTCAGCAGTCATGTGAGCCCATTCTTTCCTGTTTTACAAGGGAAGAGATGGAGGGCCTGCAAGCTCACTGGCTTATCTCCTAATTCCGAGTAGTCTCCTCCATGAAATAGCTGTCCCTAAAGAACAAACATCAGAGCTCCTTCAAAGGCCAGGGCTCAGAATCTGTGTCCAGGTTGCGAAGGGGGCCTCTGGTCCATCCCTGCCTCCTAGGCTGTCTCACTGAGGTTTCCTTGATGGGGCGTTGGTCTGATCCTGCCTCCCTGGGTCTCGCATCGCATCCTTTTCTTCATTGAGTAGTCATCCACGTTATACTTCTCAGAATCCTCTGCTGAAGCCATTGTGGTGGGAAAGATGTGTGCCTGTGTGTGCCTATGTGTGCCTGTGTGTGCCTGTGTGTGCCTATGTGTGCCTGTGTGTGCCTATGTGGCTTGTCCCAGAGGCCTGGGAACCTGGGTGTCTAGGTTCTACAAGCCCTGCCATTTTGAACTTTCTTTATGGACTGAGATTACTCTAAAATCAAGACCCCCGTATCTCTGAGAACATATTCTGTGTGAGGCCCTTAGGAAATCTGTGCCTCACCTCAGGGGATTCTGAAGTGCTGGGTGTGAATAGAGGTTTTCTTTTCATTCTGAGACTCCTGCCAAGGGCCCCGGGATACCTTCAAGGGAGGTTAAAGAAGCTGAGCTTGAACAAAATAACCCAAAGCCTGACACCTACAGAAGCCTTCAGCACTACCATTACTACTCCAATTGCATCTACATGTGAGCTGGGCGTGTGTGCACACATATGTATGTGCACATGTGAATGACAGAGGTCAGCCTCATCTGTCATTCTTTAGGTGCCGTCCTCCTGTTTTTTGAGACAGAGACTTTCACTTGACCTGGAACTTGCTGATTAAGACTGGTTGGTCACTGAGTTCCAGGGACACTCTTTCTTTGCATTCCCAGCATGCACTACCACGCCCAGGTTTGTTACATGGTTCTGGGCATTGACCAGAGGTCCTCTTGCTTGTATGGCAAACACTTGACCAACTGAGCCATCTCTACAGACCCCTTTAGCAGCATTCTGAACTCAGCAGTTCATTCCACTGACCTTACGCACGATCCTTTACCCCACCTGGGCCTCTGCTTTGCTTTAGATGATGCTCAGGCCTTCACCTGCTCACACTCCGGTAAAAGAGTCAAAACATTTGGAATCTCGACAGAAGTTGCCTTTAATACCGCACTTTCTAAAACAGAAAGGAAGGAGAGAGAGGGCAAGAATGAAAGGAGAAAGAGGGAGGGAGGGAGAGGGGAAATAAGGAAGGAAGAAGGAAGGAAGGAAGAAAGGAAGGAAGGAAGAAAGGAAGGAAAAAAGGAAGGAAGGAAGGAAGGAAGGAAGGAAGGAAGGAAGGAAGGAAGGAAGGAAGGAAGGAAATGAGATGGGGAAAATTAAAAAAAAAAGAAAAGTAATTAATTAACAAAAGCTAAGGAAGGAAGACTAGGGAGCTGTGCCGTCCAAGCCGTAACTACAATATGTTGAGTTTTTGTTGTGAATTGATGCTTATTTAGCTTTCAAAACACAGCCCAGCAGAGACCACCTAGAGTCCTTTGCACACTTTGAATCTGAAGTGGGAGACCCGCTTGTGTGTTAGCTGCTTCTGTTTAAGAAAGTGAAGGAAAGGCCAATAGAAAATTTGTTAGTGTGGTGATTTGTTTTTTGGTTTTTGTCTTTTTTTTCTTTTAAACCTAAAACACTTTGATCTTGGAAGCTATTTTTTTTAGTTGTTGAAATTTGTGAAAAGTGTTTAACCCAGCACCTAACATCCAGGAAGTGTTTGATAAATTCTGGTTAGGTTTCTAGCAAAAGAGACTGATAGAGGCATTGGAAGATCTGAATTCTAGGGATCTCTGTGGCTGTGGTAAGCAAACCCTCTGGCTGTTATTATAAGATGAGCAGATTCAATAGAATGGCCTGAAGGGCTTTCCCAGCTGCTATTCTGCAGATACTTCTAATTCTTTGGTGCCTCCATAGTCAAACTAAATTATTTTTATGAAAACCTTTCACATCTGTGGAATATTCTTTTATATTGTGAGAATATATGTCTCTGTGATTGGTTTAATAACGAATCTGACTGGCCAATAGCTGGACAAAATAAAGTTGGGAGAGGGACAAACAGAGAATTCTGGGAAGAAGAAGGGCAAAGTCAGAGACGTAGCAAGCAGACATGCCATACTGAAAAGAGGTACCCAGTTACATAGCAAAGCATAGGCAAAAATATGGGTTAATTGAAAATGTAAGAGTTAGCTAGTAAAAAGCCTGAGCTCTTAGCCAACCATTTGTAATTAATATTAAGGTCTTTGTCAATTATTTGGGTACTGGCGGGCGGGAAATTAAAGTCTGAGTACACACAGCTTGTTATGAATCCCTTACAGACTGGGTGTGCAGCTCATTCTCAGGAGACTCAGCCCAAGTTCGAGACCAGCCTGGGCTATCTAACAAGACCCTGCCTCAAACAGCCTGGGTGAAGTCAGGCACGGTGTTATATGCCTTAAATCTCAGCACTCAGGAGGC